CTGGAGACATGGGAACGGGGGGGAGCGCCGCAAGCCGTTTTAAATGTAATAAAGGGATATTCGATTCCCTTTGTGAAGAAGCCACCTTTAGTCCCGCTTTTGGGCAGCATATTGCCAAAATTCAACACAGAGGGAATGGATTCAGAAATTCAGTCTCTTCTGGAGCAGGGCATTCTGGAAAGCTCAACAGAAACTCTAGGCTTTTTATCGACCATGTTCCCAGTGCTAAAATCGGATGGATCCATACGACCTATAATAAACCTTCGGAGCCTAAACGACAATTTACTCCCAAGAAAATTCAGGTTGATAAATCATTTCAAGGTTGTCGAATTTCTCCAGGAGAGGGACTTCTTAGTGAAATTAGACATCTCGCAGGCGTATTTTCACATACCCGTGAAAGCTCAGCATCGAAAGTTCCTTTCTATAGTCCACCAGGGCAGGGTACTTCATTTTACGTGCCTGCCCTTCGGCCTGTCAACAGCTCCGCTGACGTTTGCCAGAATTTCAAACTGGGTAGCTTCGAAGCTCAGAGAGATGGGCATGAGGGTCCTAGTTTATCTAGACGATTTCCTAATAGCAGGACAGGACCCCTTAAGGTTGAAGGAAGACGCTGTAAACGCGGTGCTTTTTCTGGAATCCCTCGGTTGGGTCGTAAACAAGGAAAAGTCGACAATGGAACCATCACAGAGTCTGGAGTACCTGGGGATCGTTTGGGATTCGGTGAGAAATGTGTCATACCTACCGGCAAAGAAGGTCGAATCTATAAGAAAAGACTTGGACATCATTACGTCAACCAAGACTTGGAACTGGGAGTTAGCGAAAATACTGTTGGGGAAGCTAAACTTTGCCTCTTTCACGATTCCCCTAGGAAGGTTACACTCCAGATCCCTACAGAGAGCAGCGAACAGTCTCCCGGACTTTCAGAAAAAGAGAAAATTCCTGATACCCTCAGAAGCTCTAGAAGAATGCTCTTGGTGGGTAAGAAACCTCCAGAAATCTTCCGCCCTATCCGGTTCAAGGGAGACAATCCTCGTGACCTCGGATGCATCGGATATCGGCTGGGGGGCACAAATAAACGGAAAGCTTGTCAGTGGCACGTGGGAAAAAGATCAGAGACTCTGGCACATCAACAGAAGAGAACTCTACGCAGTCATACAGGCGTTTCAAAGGGAACTACACCAATTAAAAAACAAAAGAGTTATTGTTCAATCAGACAACAAGACTGTCGTAGCCTATATAAAAAATCAGGGGGGGACCAGATCTCCGAAACTTACAGAAATGGTTTCTCATCTGCTAGAAATAGCCTACGAGCAGAAGATAGATATCGTTCCTCAGTACATCCCCGGTGCCTACAACGACATAGCCGACAGCCTTTCCAGGCGCAGGCATCTAGCAGATTGGCACTTATCAGACAGGATAACCAGGATGATATTTCAGAGATGGGGTACTCCCGAGATCGACCTCTTTGCCACCAGAATGTCGAAAGTAGTCCCTTCTTACGTCTCGAGGGACATAAGAGACAGGACAGCCATTTTCATCGATGCCTTCAGCAGGACATGGCAGTTCAAGTTAGCATGGATATTCCCTCCACCTTCCCTAATACCACGGGTCCTGTCCCACCTGAACAAGGCCGAAGGGACGTACATTCTAATAGTCCCCAGATGGGAGAAAGTCTTTTGGAGGGCAGATCTGAGGTCGAGAGCAATAGATCGACCTCTCCGGATCAGAGACTTACACCACCACATAATAGATGCAACAACCGGATTAAGCCTACCCAACGCCAGAAACTTACGTTTGGAGGCATGGAAAATACGGGGTGGTCCAAGATTACCGCGGCCTGGTCGGATGAAGATCACCGGTTATTAGAGAATGCATGGAGGAAATCCTCACTAAAGACTTACTCAGCCCCTTGGAAAGCATGGTTGGAGAGATGTAAAACTCTGCATCTAAATCCCAATGCCCCAGAGGCATGAACAGTGGCTCAACACCTGAGTTTTCTTCATAGAGTGAGGGGCTTGTCAGCCGATACCATAAAGGTGCATAAATCGGCAATTGCAACATTGGCAAATCCCCTACGAAGAGAGGATATTTCGGGTAACCCTTTAGTGAAACAGATGATCAAGGCTATTGAACTAGTGAAACCTCGTACTGTTAGGAAACACATTTGGGATGTATCACTTCTGATTAATTGGATGAAGACAGTGAACATCAGTGAAGAAAGTATCTTTCAAGTCTCACGTCACCTTGCTCTAATATTACTTCTAGCTTCGGGAAGAAGGATACATGACCTAACTTTGCTAAGAATTGACAGAAATAGCATGATAATAGATGATCAGTCGATAACCTTTTGGCCAGATTTCGGGTCAAAGACAGACCGAGGCTACCATAGACAATCAGGATGGAATATCTTAAAAGTTCCCACTAGGAGGCTGGATCCCATATATTGGACGAAGGTATTGATCTCCATTTCTGCTGACAGAAGAAGAGCAATTAATGCTCTAGATTCTTTATTCATTACCTCACGAGGCCGAGTGGCCCCTGCATCTAGAGCAGTAATCGCTGGATGGGTTAAGACTGCTCTTTCCGAAATTAATGTTAATTTCGCCCCGGGAAGTATCAGATCGGCGGTCGCTTCCTCGAGAAGAGATCATAACGTCCCCATAGACTCTATCCTGCAGTGTGGAAACTGGAGTAGCGACCATAATGTTTTTAAACATTATTTTAAGGAAATCCTTAAGGCCCCTACGAAGAACGATGCTGATGTGTTTTTAGTAGATACCAGCTTCAAAGCTGTTTAACGTTTTTAACTTTATATGAATACATTTCGGTGTTTTGTTCTTGGCTTTTATAGAGTTACCTATTTTAGTTTTCTTTTGGTGGCATGTTTATACGAAGAACTATACTTTTCTGTTTATACCGATTTGGATACTATTAGTTAATTAAAAACGTTTTTTACTTTGTTCTCCATCTTTGGTATTTTATTTAGCACATACCCTATAAGAACTTCTAGTAATTTTCAGTGATCACAGTACGCTCTCCCGCGTCGTCAGAAACCAAAAACCTCTCACAGGTCAAGCCGACGGCACAGGAATGAAATAGTCAGCGTTTTTCCCCCGAAGGGATAAAAACGATATATTTCATACCTTGCCTAGGCTTGACCATAGTAAGTACTTGACGACGGTTTCTCCTGAGGTACTGACGAATGTCGCCTTCGGCTACCGCCACGAGACTGAGACCCCTCCGCTGCGCAAGGAGTGGTGGGTGGCGACTAGACGGCGCGGGGAGAGGAAAAAGCGTAGCACACACGGCACGAAAGGTGGAATGAAGTAGAGTGTAGTCTCACAGGTCAAGCCTAGGCAAGGTATGAAATATATCGTTTTTATCCCTTCGGGGGAAAAACGCTGACTATTATGTAAGTATATTCGGCCATGAAATTATTAAAATATTATCAAAAATGATATTAGAGACGGAGACAAATCCACAAATCAAGGTTTATGAGCGCACAAAGGATTATTGTCAAGCACCGATACCCTTGTAACGTCATTATAGATGCGCGTTTCCCTTCGTCTGTATCTCGACTCATACGCGCTAAGTCTAAAAGTTGTAAGGAAAGAAAGCTTTCAAGAAGTTCCACTTCTACCACGTGTACGGCGCTGCACATGATTTTTTTCAAGCACAGTTTTGTATAAACTGTGTTTAAATTTGGATTATTTTATTCCGTCTAAGATGACGTCATAACCGTTTCCAATAACAAACAAGATTAAAAGTTTTCTACACCAAACGAGCAACTAACAAGTGACAGTTGACAGTTATCGAATTGAACCTTTTTTTTCCGTTCATCGATCAGGAACTGGTGCCGGATTATGAACATGAGTTGCGTCACCAATCGAATATGACTTTGGTAAAGAGTAAGTTGATAACGTCATCTAGGGTGCCTTATGGAGATTTGCATTATGTTGAGACAAACCAGATGACGTCATAAAAGTTATCAACCTACCTTTCTCGAACAACCTTGGCCTACAGTGATATATAACTCTGACTGGTTTCTGATTTTTGTGCGAACAAACCTATTATTTTGTAGGTCTGAAAATGCTCGTATAAGCGAAACACATGTCACTATTAAGTGAATAATAGTTATTTATATTACGTAGTACGGATTGAGCTTCATTACAGTAACGAGTAGGGAATATTACCACGACGAGGTCGTAGACCGAGTCGTGGTAACCACACGAGTATTGTAATGAGTCTTACCGCTTACCGTACGTGTGGCATTATAAACCTTGGCGCTCGGTATATAATGACCAACTTCTCTACCTAGGTATAGAATGTACTATTTTTACCACTATCCTGAGAAGTAGTCATTAATCAATCTTTTTTTTTGGGAAGATATTGAATTTCTCTCATTAGGTTAATAAATGAAAACAATATAAAAAAATACCTACGTCAATAATGAAAATGACGTCATGACGCAAGGATATTGTCATAACGTAACGGGTTTCTTTCGGTTTAATTTCCATTTTAAACTGCCAATTTAAAAAAAAAAAACAGGTTCTTGTATGTACACTATAGGAAAATACCATCAGCTGTTGATAGAGGGCAGCACTTCCGACAAGAAAAAATCATTTGAGCACAAGTTTCAAATCATTTTTTATTTTCTACTAGCAGTAGTAAAAAAAAATTCTATATGTTCCTCGGAAGAAAAAGTCATTATATACCTTACGCATTATAAAAGCGCTTGGTATATAATGACCAGCTTCTCTACCTAGGTATATAATGTACGAATTTGAATTTACTTTTTCCGAATTTGAATTTACTTTTTCCGAAATTAACTTTACTTTTTCTGAAATTGATTTGACTTTTTCCGAAAATGGCTCTACATTTTCCTAAATAAAAAGTTACTTTTACCGAAATTGAGGTTGAAATGGTGTAGAACGGTTCAAAAAACTGAACCCGATCTAGTTGCTGTCATTTGTCATGACATATATCAACAGACGACAAATAGCGAAGTTTGAATTTTTGAATTCAAATTCAAATCAGTGGAAATAGATAAGCCTAAACTATCGTGTACCATTTAACACGCAGAAAAATGAATTCAAGATCGAAGGCAAGAGCAGCCCAAGTGCATGCTTTTGCTCGAACTAGAAGTGTGTGGCCTGCAGGACGTAAAAAGATCAATCCCGAACAAAATCGAAACAAGTGCGACGTGCATGAAGTCAAAAGTTTTCTCGACTCGCTCCCCATTGATGAAAATGCAGACCTGGATGCGGAGTTGCCGGTTTTGGATTTGAGAGAAGAATACTTTCTTGGAAAAGTTGATGAAACTCAAAATATTGAAGATTTAAAAAACATGATGCAGGTCTATGGAGTTACTAGTAAAGATAATTTTGATGTGATAAATTTATCATGAAAATTTTGTTTACCATGACCATATTTGACTCACATTAGTGTATTTAGGTACAATTTGTTAATGTGGATCTTTCCAGATCTCTCCACAATGAGAGAAACATGTTATTAATATTAATATTCAAATAAATTCTAATTACTTAGATAAATAATGTCTTCAGGTTTGTTCAATGTATATTAAAGCTTTTCTTTTAAATCACCATAGAACAATGTTTTCCGTTATACTTACCTGGAGACAACCCTTTTTCATCTGTCTTTACAATAGTAAAACGAATAATGGTAATATTTTCAGAAGAGCGCACGGAATTTTTGCGCGATCTCTGGTCTCTGTTTCCATGCGCTAAACAATCGGTTAGATTAGACGTCCTCAACTCTTGGCGTAAAATACATTAGCCAAGTTAAAAACACTATAGATCAATAAAACGAATTCCTAAATGTTAGGTATAATCTTGTTAAAAAAATTACCTCACAAGCACAGCCTGAATCGCAAGTTGCAGGCATCCCATCGAGGCTTGCGGGTGACGTCACCTCTAAAAGTCTGCAGGTGACGTCACTCATAGGCCCTGCCGACTCGAAAATTGGCGAACGTACGCCTTAAGGCCGGGACACATCTATCATACATTCTTCCGATCCGACTCCGATCATACAATCAAGGTCTTTATTCTTGAAACAGGGGAGCAGTGGAACGCTCGTTCTTTTGGGAACGCTGCTCCCTGTTCCAAGAATAAGGACCCTGATTGTATGATCGGAGTCGGATCCGAAGAATGCATGATAGATGGGTCCCGGGCTTTATTACAGTGACTCTATTACCCACAGTGGCGACAATTGCTGTCTCATTTTTGATTGGTTCTAAAATCCCATATATTTATATTGAAAACGCCGCCATCTTGTTCCCAACCTCTTGTTACTTTTAAATGTGAATATATGGGATTTAGGTGAACATCTATCATAAATCATGGAAAACACGTTTTTGATGGACCTGATAATGGTCATCAAATACGTCCAATTTCAATTTTTTATGATAGATGTTCATTTAAATCCTATATATTAATATTTAAAAGTAACAAGAGGTTGGGAACAAGATGGCGGCGGGACCTCTATTGTCGCCACTGTATGTAAAGGTTTATTTAGCCACTGTAGGCTTATGAGGATGAGCAATCCTGGGTTGCGTTCAAGGTCGGCAATGCTAATGCCAAAACCTACTTTTCCCCCTCCACCTGTAATGCCGAACCACGTAGGTTGGAGCCGAAATCGAACGCAAAATGCCAATTTTGGCTTGGCTGTAGTTATTTCTTAACGCAGCCCTGTTATTCTTCAAGGCCCGTATTCATGGTCGATGCTCAAGGTTGTGTCTTGGCTAAAGTACGACTTAACGCCATATTTACGTTTCCAAACAACACGGAACAACTGTCAAATATCGGAGCATGAGCCAAGCACCCGTCTATCCTTGCGTTCGGTATTTTGCTCAACGAGCAGAGAGTGCTGAGCGGAGCCGTAATCACGTCACCAGCGAGCAAGCAGAGCAGTTAAACGCTGTATCCGAGTGCCTCGAATTTTTATAAACGAACGCGAATGAACCTACACCGAGTACACTTTTTAAAAAACGCACGGTATGAACACCGGGCTAATAGAAAAGTGCGTTCGAAATCAGTCACACTGAGTGCACACCAGCTGTTCGGAAATTAATTGGTATAAACTTCGTTTGACATACACGCTAGTTCGAAAATATCCAGGATGCCACCCAGTGTGCACTTTTTCTTAACCAACTCTGCCGCTAAGTAAATTTCATTCCGATAGGAGTGACAACTCTTGTCGGTTTTTCATAATTAACCCGTGTTTAGATCTCGTTTGCATCTTCCTCTTTTACGGTTGCTGGCGCAAACCGCTAACGATATCGTTGATGACGTTGACAACGGTGCAACACCAAATGAACTTGATTCCAAAAATCGAGGCATAAGAGCAATCCTGTAGTAGTGTGTAATAAATATCCTTGGTGTAGCGTAACATAGGTCAGAAATGGACGCTTTCCAACGCTTTGTTTTTTAGAGTGTTAAATTTATTACGATACGAGCAAACAGTAAACACCCTAGTTTATAAAATCTTGAAACCGAGAAAAAACCGGTGAAAACCAAGGTTGTTTGAAAGTAATATAGGTTGCCTGATAACTTTTATTACGTCATGTGGAGGACCTAAGCCTAATGCAAATCTCCATTAGATCCTCCCGATAACGACATCTGTTTATCATTACCAGACAACCCATTAACTTTAAGAACCTTGGGTAAGAACCGATTATTAATATTGGTTCCGGTACTACCTGCCCTGAAACATTTCTATGATAATATGGGTTTCGTTCCAATTCCGGTCTGCAAAAAACAAAACGGTTTGGTTCCGGTTTTCAGTTCATTATCGTTCCGGTCCGGCAAGGAGATTACACACTCTAAGCAGTGTTTATCGGCCTCGTTTTTGATAATTGCCGTCATATTGGTTTTCAACCATTGCCGATGTCATAACTAAGCCGTGAGCTGTTTAAACAGTCAAGGCGAGAAACGCTATGCTGCTTACGTCACAACTGGTTGTTTGGCTTGGGGGGGTAGAGGAGGATTTGTTATACATGGGCCTTATGAGGATAGACCATCCTGTAGTAGTAGTGTCTAAAATCCTTGCCGGTCCGGGTCTCTGGAAAAAACATTCGTTTTATCGGGGTGCTTTACTCCCTGAGACGAGAATCCGGCCCCGGGGTGAAGAGAGCGAACTCAGGGTACGTGCACGATGGTAACCCGAACGCAAAAGGGAACAGGAAACACTCCGAGAGCGCTCGGAGTTTACCGAGTGTAAAGCTCACTTTTCATGCATCCGTTTTTCCGTCAATCTGTTGATCCGGAAGTAATCTTATTGGTCCAATATTTTGGCATCAAAATATTGGACCAATATTGGATTAACGGAAAAACGGATGCATGAAAAGTAAGCTTAAAACCAAACTTAGCCCAACCTTGCGTTCGGTATTTCGCTCAAAAAGCAGAGCGGAGCCGTAATCACGTGACCAGCGAGCGAACAGAGCAGTTAAACGCTGTATCCGAGTGCTCGAAATTTTTATAAACGAACGCAAATGAGCCTGCTCCGAGTACACTTCTCGAACGCACGGCAAGTTGGACTCGACGACGGCTGACAAAAAAATCTGTCAACGCACAAAGTATCAAGTTGACAAATGACAGCTTCAAAAACATGTGGGATTTTTGAATTGGGCTTTGACTTTTGAATAAACAATAAACAATGCAAAAGATAAAAGAAAAACGATTTTGCTGGAAACAAATGATTTAAATTTCAAAAACCCGAGGACGTGTATCGAGTACTTATGAGATTTCGGGCTTTGAGAAACGGTGCAGTGCAGAAAACTAACAAATTCTTTTCTACTGTGACTGTGCTGTGAAAGTGTTTCGAACAAGGTGCCTGGATATAAATACTTTTCTTGTGAAGCTCTGTGTGAAATGACCAACCGTACCAGCAATGCTAGGGTAAGACTTAGTTTATTGAATTTTATTCGCAATCAGTGCTGCATAGTACAGCATCTAGCCATAAAGTAGAAGTAAAAATTGCCAGTTTAGCAACCCAAAACATTTCACCAGTGTTGAGAAGTGAGTAGCTATTCAAAACTATGAATTTGTCACCTATTTTTCAGCGCCCAAAAGTTTTATGTCTGTGAAGGGTGCTCCTTATTGCTAGCAACATTGTGTTTTATATTATTAGCCATAGGGTTTCCATACGTCCGGATTTACCCGGACACGTTTGGGTTTTTAGGGTGTCTGGGGAAGTCCGGCCGGAATTCGGAACAATGTCCGGAAAACTCGGAGATCGTGAAAACAACCTAACTTTGTTAAATATTTCAATCTTTACATTCGTTACGGTTATTTATTAATTTCTGTGAAAATGTATTTTTGCAGAAAACTACCAAAATTCATCCTTTATACAAATTTTAAATTCTGTATTTTAGATTAAATGATTGTATTTCAGAAAACGTGAATTATATTTTAGAATTTGTCAGATATAGTTCAGAATCAGAGATCATCAGATGTATTTTAGATATTATGGATATTTATTTTATGAGGAGTATAAGAAATACTATGTAATGTGACGCGTATGGAAATTTGAACGCTGAGCGTAGGTACCTACGCAGATTTTATATTTTCACAAATCGAAACATCCTAGGTGTATAGGTTACCAATTATAAATTTTATTCAATAAACTTAAATTGAATTGATAACATTTGAAATACATTTGACGAATTCTGAAATACAATTGACAATTTCTGATCTACAAACATAGCTTATATCAAGTGAATAATATTTCTAATATTTATGGGAACTTTCTGGATTTGATATTTTGTAGTAATAAGGATGTATGTACCTCAATATCAGCCGATCCACTTTTGAATTTGGACACACCTCATCCTGCTTTGGTTTTTGATGTATTAATTTCGGATAATAATTCTGATAAGTTGGAGTATGATTATTGTTTTCTGGATTATAAGAATTGTAATTTTAGGGATTTAAATGTTTATCTGTCTTGTATGGATTGGGACTCTTTTGTTGATATGGATGATATAAACTCTGCTGTCGATACTTTTTATAATCAAATTTATCATGCTATTGAGATCTTTACACCCATTTCAAAAAGAAAAACAGCAAAATTTCCAGGATGGATGGATAGTCATTTGAAATGTTTGATTTTGTCTAAAAAAAAGGCACATCAAAACTATAAAAATACTATGTCCGCTCAGGATTATGGAGTTTTTTCAGAAATTAGGAAAGAATGTAAAATTTATTCTCATATCAGCCATAGGAATTTCATTGAGAAAATCGAGTCCGAGACACAGGACAGAAATGGATTTTGGAGATATGTACGATCGAAAAATGAAAATCGTGGATATCCCAGTTCTATGTTTCTTGATGAGCATGAAGGTAGCACACCTCATGAAATTGTCAATCTCTTTAAGGATAGTTTTTCCTCGGTTTATACTGAGGTGAGTGTTGAGAGTGATCGAAACATTCCTGTCTCTAATTTATCTAGTTTGTCTAATTGCAGTATCAGTTCGGTTCTAATT